TGAAAAAGTTAAGCCTTTTTTTTATCTTGAATTAGTTACTAGTGACTAATGACTCAGTTCCAGGTATTTCAAAAATTATATGATGATCCGGGGATCCATTCTCTTGCCAACCTGCTTTTTCCTAATTCCACATGAAAGTGGGATTACATTTTACAGTATTTTCTCAACGTTCATTTATTTATTACATCAAATTATCATTAAATACTGAATTATTTAATAAATATTTTAATATTAATTCATTGAAATGGTGCAAATTGTAAATTTTATGGAGCTTTTTAGGTCAAAGTAAGTACAGAATTTTTCTTTTTATTTTATTAAAAGGATTTTAATGAATTTAATCATTTCTATAATGAATTATATAGTTGAGTATTCTAAATATTCTATTCTTACATGTTTGACACTAATCAAGTAGCACACTAGAGATGATTTAAACTAAAGGCAATGTTCAAACCAGAATAACTTTGAAACTGTGAGCTTGATAACAAGAAAAATGTAAAAAAACTTTTTGAAAATAAAATGTTCAAAGTTCCAAGTAGAGTAGGGAAATGTAAAAAAATACATCTAATTTAAAAATAAATGCGAAATGATAATGTACAGCCTGAAATAAAGAATTTTATCAAAGAATATTTAAATTAGTTTTTACCATAAAAAGTAATTTTTACTATAATATTAAAGATGAAAGTAGAATAACGAGAAATTGAAAAGTGGGCAGAAAAATTTTTTTTTATCTTTATAATTTTTGCAATAGAAGGAAAATTGTATTGAACATTCAAACCAGTATCAAGTGATCAAAAGTAGGTTTTTCAAGTGTTGTTTTTTTGTTTTGTAACTTTTTTATATTTGAAAAAAAACTTCGATCTTTGTTGCAGCTCTCATAACTTTCAACCCTACTCATCTTCTGTTTTTATAGGACAATTTATGTTAAGAGATCGTTCAGAAATGGCAGTTTTAGTGTAAATTTGAGCGTGATTTGAAGAGAAAATTTATCGACGATTGAGCAGGAACTTGTGTAAAATGCTGTAATGATAAAAAATGAACAATAAAAATAATTTCCAAGCAAATCATTGTAATGAAAATTTTAATAAAAAATTAATGAATAATTTTATCAGATTTTTTTGATTGTCTTTTTAAATAGCATATGGCAATAAAAAAACACTAGATATGTCCATAAAAAACTAACTTTTTTTATCAAAATAACATAAACCCATTTAAGAAGAAGCAAAGGATAAGTTATTGTTTCCAATAAATGTCTATATAAATAGAAAATATTTATTGATTGTAAAAAGTATTCCAATAAACAAGAGTTTCAAATAATCATCATAATGTCTAGATTTATTCAAGCATTTGTTTGAGAAGAAGTATTTTGCATCCATTTATTAAAAATATTAATTTGTGATTGAGAAGATAAAAAAGTTTAAAGTAAGGAGATATTTAATTGAAAATACTTCTTTAAAGAGTTTTCATTGTCTTAAAGACCAATTTTTTCTTTCATTTAAATAAGCTGAAAATGATGGTATAAGTTTTTAAATTTGGATTAAAATGCATGGTCATTTATTTCAGGATCTCTTTGTGTATTTCTGTCGAGCGATTTTCATGGCTAACTTTTCTCATTAGTCCTGCATTTGCACGATTTCAAAACTAGTATGTGTCCAACGCGAAAAGTGTCGACAAACGATAATGAAAATACGAGAGAAAACACTTTTGAAGAGTTATATATCACTAATTGGCCTTTAAGTAATGTTATTTCTGAAAATTTATTTTAAAATCGTTAAAAAAGTCAGGAAAGTGGCTCTAGTGGAGGTTGATGTTAACTTTAAGACATAAAATACGTCGAAGTCGTAATAAAAATTTTTATAATCATTCAAGAATTTTTGTTGGAATGGAGAAATAATTGAAACGAGAAATAAAAAAATTCACATAGTGATCTAGTAAAAACAATTTCATTTCCTTTACTTCCTCATGTTTCGCGTTATCGTGACATTTCTACGCACGATTTATTACTCGTGCTCCAATTGGCCATCGCTAATTGCGAGGTTCATTGCTCTGGAAATGTGCATGTTAAGAGCGAGTTATAAACAATATAAAAGAAAGTATCAGAATAATCGACTAAATGGTACGATACGGAAAGAACAATTTTATAGTTTTAGCTGTGAAGAGGATTTTCATTAACTTAAACGAAATTGTCGGACTACAATTTTTTTTTTTTTCAAACAACCCAACAGCTATTTTTGTTCATAGCAGTGGACAAATATAAAGTCCATTCACTCTTACATTCTTTAGTATCATAAATATCTGTGTTAAATATTAGAGGAAAATATTTTATTACAGCTTTTAACGTTGATGGAAGCTTTCTTCATTTATTATAAAACGAAAATACAGTGGAAATTAAAAGCAATTAGTCACCATGTTTATGATGTTAACTTCAAAATATTCATTAGTAGTAATTAAAAAAAATTGTTTGTGTTATATAAAAATATTTCATTTTTTTATGCAAAATTGTGGAAAATCTAGTTTAATTGAAGTAATGTAAACTAAGCAAAGAAATTTTTTGAATTAATGAAAAATGATTCCACTTTTTAATTAAAACTGACACAAAAATTTTCTCATAAATAAATATACTTTTTTTTTTATTAAAATAAATTGAAGTAGTTATTTATCATGATATCATATAAAAGAATAACATTTTTATTGAAATTGAAACATATATAGCCATTAAACTGATTAAAATTTTTTAATTTAATTCAAACGGATATCGAAAAATATTTATATATATCTCCTTTTAAATATTAATACAAGCAAATTTGATTAATGTAAAATCAATAAATAATTAAATGAATATTATAATAAATTTTAATGAGCTTTAAAATACCTTCGATTCATATAACTGAATAGCGTATAAATCAGATTCTGTAATATTGATTTTAACATTTTTTCCCCATTATTTTCAGTTTTCCATTTGATGGAAAAAAAAATCTAAAATACGGTATTTTTTCGCTAGAGAAAGGCAGCATTTCCGAGATATCAATTTATTTTGGAGAAATTAACACTCCAACTACCCTTGATCGACATCTCGGGTAAACATACCAATAGATGAACAATTAAGACCGAAATGTTGATAGAGAATAGTAAATTTCCACACAATTAAAATTAATGCACACCAAAAAAATGTGTTCTTTAATCAAAATTTTATTCATGAATTTTACAAATATATACTGACCTTAACTTTCCTTTGAATGCAGTGTGCAATATGATGGAGATGAAGAGAATTTATTAAATAAAAAAATGTATAAACTTCACAATAAATGATTTTCTAATGAGCAAGGCAAACAGAAAGTATTATCGAGATATTAAATAAAATAAAATTAAAATTTTCGATCGATAAAAATGATAATTATTTTAAAATTAAATGAGATATAAATTATTCAAAAACATATTTAAATATTGTAATTTAGTCAATTTAAATTTAAGCTTTATTTACCTCTACAGGGCTAGAATAAAAACAACTTTATAAAATGTAGTAATAATTACTTTAATTTTATCGAGATTATGTATTTTGACAAAATAAATTAAAGTTAGTTACTCTAAAAATCAACAAGTAATTAATTTAAAAATGTAATATCTCATATATATTTATACATTGAAAATTAAAAAGAATAGAATGAAAAGTAATTAGTTTCACTAATTTTAATAATAAAAATAAAAAGAATCGAAATTTGAGAATACTCTGTATAGCAATTGTAGCTTGGTAAATATTAATAGGTTCCATCACATGCTACATGACTTTTTATTACTTTTTCATTTTCAGAGAGTACCAATAAAAATCGTTTAAAAAATTGTTATCCAAAAATACCAGATGCCAGATGCAATATCAAAAAAACACCTGTATGAGAAATTGGAAACGTTTAAAAAGCAATTTAAAAAAAAATATAGCACAATGGTCAATCTAAAATTCTACTAAATAATTTATCAAAAGTCTAATTATCGTTTGTTAAAAAAAGTATTAAACACAAAATAAGCTTTTTAATTACTTTTATATGAATGGAATGAAATCAATTCCAATTATTTTTCTTGTTATCAAAATTCCAAGCTATTATTCAACAAATACTAATAATACGATTAACACAGTGAAAGACTTTGCTCACCAAGTGCAATTTAACATTGGGTTCATCTCCTTCTTCAACTTTAAATTCAATCAATTCAACACTGTTTGATTTATGTTTAATTAGCATAAGTGCAAAAACACGTAATTTGTATAAGCCATGGCCAGTTCTCTTTACTCAAACCTTCGTGTATTCTCATGTGCTCATACTTCGAACAAACTTTGGCTCATTACTTAAGTAGCGTGAAAGTACGAGCAATTTAGAAAAGCAGTGGAAATATAGAAGAGATTCTCGATCTTCCAAGGATTAAACGTTATCACTAGATAAAATGTTTGCCATAAAAAATGATCCTAACAAATGTTTTTGCACATTTAATAAAATTTTATGTATCAATAAAGAGAGAATTTTGTTTTTTTCAATGGCTTTGGGTCTGTTGATTTTTATGTTCCATGCAGGTTGTGCGTTAATATAACAGAGCGTGGAATTTTTTATCGTTGAGAAGAGGGAAATATAAGAGAAGATGGAGTTGCAAAAGGAATTTACTGACAATCGATCTTGCATAGTAGAAAAGCCGTAGGTGGCTATTGCAGTGAAACATAAGAGGATTGGAGAGAGGAAGTTGGTAGTGCATTGCTTTAACGCGACCATGTGAACCGAATTGTCATTATACGGCTGAGAGTAAGCGTCGTCACGCGACAGAATAATGGCCGTTTGTATCGGCAACCAAACGGCTGTTGAAATTGCTGGCCTCGAGCCTTCCGATTCTCTTGACTCCCTTTGCAATGTCCTCGCTGCATGCTTGGAGTCGATGACCCGCTTAAATTTATGTGCGTCCAATTAATTAAATGATCAAACAATATATGAGAAAAGACAATTAAAAACCATAAAATTAACTGCCAATAATTTCTCATAAATGCTTTAATGAACTTCCATTAATTATCCAAAAATTGCTTACATTATAATTCATATACTTTAGGCAATATGTTAAAAAAAAAATTTTTCACAATCCTTGAAAAACAACGGTCTTATCTTCACTCTTCTTTGCCATGACCCCAAGCATTCATTCCTGCCATTCATTAATACCTGCAATCAAAAGAAAAAAAAAATAAATGAATTAATTAAAACTCTCAAACGTTAAGTTTGAAAAACGAGGAGTGGTCGTGTGTGCTTTACACTTGGCCCTGGGGGAGAGAAATGTGCTATTTAATTTAGCTGAAAAGAAAGTTGAATATAGTTAGAGGCTACTTGTGATGGAACAAGAGCTATCCGGCTTGAACCAAGAACTCACAGGCACGCCTGTGAAACGCATCATTACCCTCTGCGACGACTAACGAACCGTAAGACGTTGGCGCTCGCCTTCTTGCAAGCTCAACGAGCACCTGAGCCACCAGGAACACACCAAAGCTTCTTCTTGTTCTTTCGTAATAAAAAAAAATTATCATTTGACTCAACAAATTCTCGTAGTGGAGCTAAGTGAGACGTGCTTTGTTTCATCAATTTCTTTACCACTAATAATCCAGAAAATTCTGTTAATTAATTAATGCCAATTGACACTTGTTAATTAATTATCCATAGACAAAGTTTCAAGAAGTTTTAGTGAACTTACTTAATTCCTGTGGACGTGAATTTGACTTCTTCTTGTACATGGGTTGCAAATCAGCGCCAGCAAAAGGGTTCCACCAATGATAAGAGCAATTACCACGGCGATAAGGGACCAAGTGCTTAGTCCTGACTTGGAAGTTGTAAATTTTTTTGCTCCAGGTAAATCTGCCAACTCACACTCTGTTAGCCCGAATCGTTTTGCCTTGGCGATAATGTATCTCAGGCGTCTTGATGCCTTTTCGCAGGACATTCTTTCTCGCACTAATTTGTTCCTTTTTTTGTACTGGGGTCAATGTGACCCAGAATTTTATTTACTTTTTTATTGGTTACGGTGAGATTTATCATTCTCGTTGGTGCTTTTAAAAGCACGAGGAAGCAACCGTTTCCTCTGACTGTTCAAGATTCATTGACGGTTGGTTATTTAATTTACAATCCCACGACATTTTTCATAGGTTTTTCTCTGCAAAAACCAACAACTGATTTACTAGTAATTTATGGTAATTCCAGGATAATATATTTATGGTTGGAAGTAAAAAATTTAAAATTGATTTTTTTTTCAAAATATGGATATAAGGAAAGGTTCAAGTACTCACCAAAAAGCAACCGCAATCACTGAGGTGACTTATAAATAATTCAACAGACTTCTCTCAACCACGAAAATTCACGAAATGCCTCCGGGGGGAGGAAACTTTGACAGAAAAACAAACTTTTCATTCAGAATATATTCTCGTTAAATTTTCGAGATGTTTGAGTCAACACTAAGCAAAAAAATAACACAAATTTAAATAAATGAATAAACAATATCACTTCTAAGTGTTGCTTCAATAGATAAACTGATTTTAAAGATTGTTCTACAATGTTTTCTTTAAATTGTTTAAAAATTTTGAGATATTCGTGATAAACAACAAATTGGTACACATGACCACGTGGATGGTAGTCGTGAGGTAAAATTTGTAAGCCGCATACTCCCGAAGACGTCGCGACGCTCACTGACTCTCTAGTATCCCGCGGAGACGTTTTATGAACCCGCGTGTAATATTGGAGTTTGCGCTGATGCGCACGTTATAGACACATTCGTACTTTTGTGTACGTGCCCTTCAGCATCAGCTTCTACTTCCATCGTATTCCACGATATGCGTAATTCCTTATTTTGATGATTTTTTTTTTTATTTTTCGTCGAAATAAACTTGAATCCACGAAACTCGATATTTTGTCACATATTTCTTCATCATTCCAGCATGTACTCAAAGGTCTTTTTGTAGGGTATTTTTCTCCTCATTCTCTTGGACAGGAAATAGCGAGGGATGAATGACCAAGGTGGTTTATTATCTCGTGGGAAGAGCACCACGCGGAATTCGTCCATGGAGTCAGACCTGTAAGAGCAAAAGAGACAAAAGAAGCATGAGTGACGGAATGAAGTACATTGTAAATAAAGTATACAAGGAAAACGTGAGAACGCGAGCTAGAAATCAGACGCAATGAGTGGAAAAGAGGGAAAAAATGTATGTACTTGTTGTAGCTGGTGTATATATGTGCGAATTCAACATGACAGAGCAAAGGATAAAAAGTTCGAAAGCAAAAACCAAAGAGAAGAGGAAAGAGCTCGTAATTGCTAATGGTCGAATGGTCGAACTAATCAAAGCGTTGTACAAACAGAATTTTTACTGCTACGATTGAACTTCAGGAAGATCCAGAGGGTTAGTATATAGGGATATTGAGGTATCGAATGCCGTTATTAGCTGGCTATTGCTTTTTGCTGGGGACAACCTTGTTTCAAAGACAAGGTGTTATATGAGAAATATTTTTTATTATTTATTCGAACAATATTCCACAAATGAATGTCTCACATTTCTGTTATCATTTTTTATTGAGAAAGGTAATTAAACATACCAATGACTAAATATTCTTATATTATTATATCAGAATAATTATTGTAAAATAAAAATTCTTTTTGATCATTAAAGAATTTTTATTCAATACAATTCGGGACACTAGTATGAGGTTTTTGATAAAAAATAGCTTCAACCAACGTCATCTGGAAAATGGTTCAAATAGTTTTATGATAAAAGTTGAAATGCATTTTTAAATTTGAGAGCTTTGTAGTTTGAAAACCAATGTTACATCATTTTAAAAGTGGAAGTATTTTTATTTTCGTTTATTTCACTATTTTAATTGTCTACCTATTAGTTTGTTGATCCTTTCAAAAAGTCATCGAACGAATTTAAACAACAGCCAATTCAGCTACCATATCAATACTAAAATACATTTTTCCTCATGTGAATTATTGATAAATCGAAAAAAAAATCTCATTATCAAATCATATTTTGTTATTTAATCACTACAAATCGGTAAAAAAGCATTTAAAAGTCGTCAACAAAATTGCCATAGTTTGTTTATGATATTCAACATTGTAAACACTTTATGTGTTTAGTTACTGAAATTTTTTAAATCTATTTTACTTAAATAAAACAATATTTTGAAATTGTATCAATCATTACGATTAAAATAATTTCAACTCAATTGATCCTCTTTCAATATGTTTCTTTTATTTTTCTAATTCTCCCTACGTTTGATTTTCTGTTGAAGTCGAAAAAAGGACGACAAATAAGATCTCATGAAATACTTCTAATTGGACTAACCAAAAAGTTTTCAATAGATCTAAAAAAAACCTAGCAATTGGGAATTAACTTGGTGGGTTGTGAAATTCAATGAGACTCGATTCAGAAGGTTATCATTTCTTATTGGTACAAGAAGTAGTGATACAAATAGTATCTAAAGATATATGATGTCATAAACGATAAGATGAGGAAGGATTTTGTCTGGTAGTGAGTCGTATCGCTGCATCAGGAGAAAACATCTCAAGTGTCGTCGATCGAAAGAATTTTTCTTCAAGACTATATGCATGGAAGCTCTGAAAAAAATAGTCTTCTATATATCCTTGACAATAGAATAAAAATAGTTTTCTTGTTACTGCATACTTTATTCAAAAAGTGTACGACTATAAAAGGACTAGAGACAACAATTTGCAAATAATTGAGTTCAGTGAGCGACAAGAACAATAGTAGACGTGTGGCAGTAGGCCAATTAACTTTAATTTCGTGATTCAGATTCGTTTTGCTTTAATTTGCTATGTTTTGTAGTCTCACACTAGGACAGTGATTCAGAATAGTGTCAAGAGGGTTAAGGGGGAGGGGGAGGGCGAGTGTGATCGCAGGGGATACTACTGGGAGAGAATTCGCCTGAATAAATAATGACTCAACTGCACAGCGAGCCAGGCGCGAGTTTCCTATTATTTATGATATTAGATTACGCTATATCACTACCTTCGTAATTAATTGCCAAGCCTCGTTTTGAAGTACCGTTAACTGTGAAATGCTAATGAACAGATTCGGTTACTATGGGTTACGTGATGTCTGGCTTCATCCATTTGTATCTCTCGAGCTTATTTCTCTATTCATCACTTTTTTACTCATTTTTTTCTCCCCAACGAAAACTTTTGTTTCCGCTCTTTTGTCATTTTATTAACGTTTTCCCTCTTGCCATGTTAGTTTTATTACTAAATCTACCTTCAACCCATCACTGTCAAACAAATCTTTAACTTTTTATTAAATTACCTATTTTTTAATCAACTTTAGTATTTACTTTGTCTTTTAACTCAACGATTAATTCCTCAAGAATCCCAAATTTTATGTCTAACCAATTGTCTGTCTGTTGAAAAATATATCAGGTTTGATCCTGTGAAAAATTTAAACCTCATGATTCACCATTGTGCACGTAAATACTGTTTCGTGTTTCTCATTTTTCTCATCCTGCTGTTCTAATTAAATAATGCGATTCAAGAACGTGCTTGAAATACTATGGGTTCATTGTATCACGCAGACAAGTCTTTTGGAGCGAAAGTCTTCAACGATTTCCGTATGGTAGACAGACAAAAAATATAGTATCAATAAATAAGACTTTTTATGTCTTTACATTAATAAACAGGTGGAAAAAAGGTTCCGGTAGACAAAATACGTGATGCAAAGGTAAATTGAATTGGAAATATTTAGACTGCGGTTCAAATAAAAGTACGAATTCGTTTTCTTCATGATAAAGTTCATACCTATAAATCAATGAATTGATCACAGAGTGGGCAAATTAATTGGCAGACAAGAGATTGAGATACATTTTATGTTTAATTAGAACAATTTCAGTTGAAAGTAATTATTGATGTTTCATTTTATATTCGCTATCTCTACAAGAGTATTGGAATACATTTTAAATATGTTGCAACTTTAACTGTTCAATAATCTACTCATCAATTTGATAATATTTAGTTTGTGGTTTAACTTCTCTTCATAAAAATTTACATTTTTAAATTATGAAAATACTCTTTTTTTTTCTTTCAACCTGTCGATTGAGTTAGATAATATATTTAACAGAAAAAGAAAATCAATAGTGAAAAATTTTTAAGTATTATTAAATTGTGAGGCATGAAAAATTTATAAAATAAACTTAGATCTCTATATCTTGACATTTATAAAATTTTATATTTAATTAATCTTTTGTTTTGCTAGTTTTAAAAATAATTCAATTAACAATGTACAGCTTATTACGTTGCTTTAAAAAATTTAATTTTGTTACTTTTATTACACATTTTAATTCCTCTTCTTGTTGTAATTCAAGATTTTTATCCACAATGCTTTATTCGAAAATAAATACTCTAATCAGTTTAAAAAAGAAAATAATGGTTGCAGTATTTGTTAATGAATAATGTTGAAAACTTTTTTGTACAAAAAAGCTGCAAGCTTTATGAATAATATCATAATATTTTTTTTATATATATAAACATAAAATTAATAAATAGATATTTATATTTGTTATAAATGATACTGTATATCAAAAATAGAACGCGATAAAAAATTTTTTATCGTCATAAAAAATTACAATAATCAATCTAATGTTTTTAAGCTGATAAAAATGATTTTAGTTAATGGCTGATTGCTAATTTACTGTAATGTTTTTTACATATAATACTTTCTACTCTACGTTGATATGAAGAGTCACTTGAGCCAATTTTTTATTCGAATTTTCATCGATAAAATTTTTTTCCAATTAAAAGCACCTCTAGAAATTGTGCATAAGTAGATAAGTGGTAGCAATTTTTTTTATCTTTGTGTTTTCATACTTGAGCTTTTTTTTCCATTCAATAGCTCCCAAAAGAAAAACACTTTCTCTATCAGTATACTGATACCAAAAATATGAAAAAAAAAATTATTAATCTATTTAATATCAAAAGATTTAATCCTGAAAAAAAATCCTTTAAAGTAATAAAGGACTTATTTTGCAGTTTAATGACTTCTCACCGGAAAAAATGAATATTCTTTTTCATCAAAGTAAAAAATATCAATAAGAATCGTAATAGTATCAAATGAAATTCTATTTCACATTGCAAAGACATTGTAATTGAATTTATCCAAGTGATTATCAACTGATAAGTCTATTACAGTAATTGAAACTTTTAAAAATAACATCATTTAATTAAAAAAAATGTATTAAAAAATAAGCTACAAAAACGTGGTTTTTCTAGAGTCAGAAGACTGAGAAGATATTTTTCTCTCGCGAAGAATTTTGAAAAATGTATGTGATGAAGAAAAACGTTTCTAGCATTGCACCTCTCCTCTTTATCTTAGATTCAATTCACATATCTTTGATGCATTTTCCGTAAACTTTTCCATATACGGAGCTTTCTTGAATACATTCAGAGACTCTATCTAGTGATACATAGCACAATACGATGTACACATAAGGTATTCGAAGTGCGACAACGGTTGCAGGGAAATTTGGATGTCGCGACGCCTTTTGCTGGCTGCCGGTGGTGACGTTAAGGGTATGAGTAGAGCACCCATTCAATCGTCTACATGGAGATTCCTACGCGTATGCCGTACTAACGTACATTCTCGCACCCAATGATGCCACCTACAGATACGCATATGT